GTGCGGACCCTGTGCACGGCTCGGTCCCGGTGTGGACGCTGGGCTCGGCTCAGTGCCGGTGTGGACCCTGGGCTCGGCTCGGTCCCGGTGCGGACCCTGGGTTCGGCTCGGTCCCGGTGTGGACCCTGGGTTCGGCTCGGTCCCGGTGCGGACCCTCGGTCCCGGTGTGGACCCTGGGCTCGGCTCAGTCCCCGTGCGGACCCTGTGCACGGCTCGGTCCGTGCGGACCCTCGGTCTCGGTGCGGACCCTCGGTCTCCGTGCGGACCCTGTGCACGGCTCGGTCCCGGTGCGGACCCTGTGCACGGCTCGGTCCCCGTGCGGACCCTGTGCACGGCTCGGTCCCCGTGCAGACCCTCGGTCCCCGTGCGGACCCTGGCTCGGCTCGGTCCCGGTACAGACCCTGGGTTCGGCTCAGTCCCGGTGCGGACCCTCGGCTCGGTCTCCTCGCCGTCCACCCGCGAGGAGGGGAAGGAACCCCCCGAGCTCCGTTTAAGGCGGCTCCAACGAAGGTGTGTGAGCGCAGAGCTCCCCGAGGAGCAGCGCTCAGCTCTTCCTCGATTTCACGCTGCTTACAGCCCATCCGAGGGGGCGGCGGGACGCGGAGCTCATGGGAAAAGCCCCGCACCACCCTCCCGTCACCTTCTGCTCCAGAAATTCTGGCTCTGAACCCAGCACGGGAAGGAATCGGAGCCCCTCGGGGCCCAAACCCCGCCGTTCCCCCCGATCCTCACCTGTTCAGGACGCCGTACGCCGCCTCCACGTTTCCGTTCTGCACCATCACCGTGCGGCCCACGAAGCGCAGGTGGTTCGCCATGGCCGCGCTGCTGCGGGACGGAGCGGCTGGGACCGGGCAGCCCCGGCGCCCGCAGGAGCCCGTCCCTCCTCCCCCCGCCCCGGGACACGGCAGGGAACCCCGGGTACGGAGAGGGGCCGGTCCCTCCCGCCCTCTCCCGGGGACACGGAGGGCTCGGTTCCCCCCGCAGAGCCCCAAGGGACCCGCCGCCCCGCGAACGGTGCCGTGCCCCGGTCGGGTCCCGGTGCCGCTGCTCTCCCCAGCTGACCCCGGTGAAGCTCCGCAGCCCCGTGACTGATGGAGGAGCTTCCGTCGGGAGGGACTTCCGCTACCGCCGGTACTTCCGGCGGGGAGAGCCCCGGTACCGGCGGAACCCGTGCCGCTCCCGGGGCTGTCCCGCCCGCAGCCGGGCCGGGGGACAGCGGGGCACCGGGGACGGCTGTGAGCCCGCCGGGACGGGAGCGCACCCCCCGCCCTGCCCAGGCACAGAGGACACGACAGCGGCTGGCCCCGGCCGCTCCCGCGGCGTTTATTGCTCCAGCAGCGCCCGCCCCGCTCGGGGCTCCGCACCCACCGCTCGGGGGGAAGGCACCAGCCCGGGAGAGCCCGGTCCCCGCGGGGACGGGGCTCCGCTCCGGCCAAGGCACGCGGCCGCCCCGCGGTTGGGGCTTCTGGGGTGGGGAGGGGGGTCGGGACCCCTCCCCCGGTCAGTCCCGCCCGCCCGCGGGTCTCACTGACCACCCGTAAAAAAAAAAAAAAAATCAAAAAAGGCAAAACCAAGAAATGCAGACGAGATCTTCCCCCCCCCCGAGCCGGGGGGGGCGTCACACGTCCGGCGCCGGGGGCGACTCGGGGGTCCCGGCTTGGCACCGGGGGGACCCCCGCTGCTGTAATGTCCCCGCGGGGCTGGCGAGGGGGAGGTCCCCGGGCAGGCGGCGGCACCGGGGAGCCCCGGGGGGACCGGCGGGGGGCCGGCGGCGCGGGGGAGCCGTGGAGGGGGTCGAGTCCAGCGTGGGTTTGGGGGCGACGTGGGGGAACCAGAGGCGCAGCATCGCCTCTACCTGCAGCAGCGTCCCCAGGTAGCGGGCACTGCGGGGAGAGAGCTCTGTCACCCTCTGCGGAGGAGGTGTCCCCGTGCCCGCCCCCCCGGAGATAGCTGGGGACCCTCACCCCATTTCTGGCTTCTGCAGGACCCCAATGATCCGCTGGAGCCGGTCCATGGCCACGCTCTGCTGGAAGCTGCTCAGCCCTGGGGAGTCCCGAAATTGGGTGAATTTTCCCCAGAGGGAAAGGGATGCTTTGAGGGGGAGGAGGGTGTGGGGTGCACCCACCTCTGTCGTACCGGCCCCGCCGCAGCCCCTCCAGCAGCTCGGCCAGCGGCCGGATGAAGCCCCGGAGCTCCCGGCACTGCGAGGAAGAGGAGGAAGAGGAGGAGGTGACTGGGTTGCACCCAGACTGGAGAGGGGGTCTGGTGCACCCCCTCACACTCCACTTACCTCCCTCTCACCCCCCGAATCCTGCTCATCCCCACCCGCCCGTTTCAGTGGGGAAACTGAGGCAGACCCAGGGGTTTTTTGAGGGGACACCAAGCCCTCCCTCACCTCCCATCTTTGGGGGTGCCCCTTCGTTTTCTGCCAAAAAACTCACCTTTTGGGCAAAGAGGCGATCGCCATCGCTGGGAGGGACATCCCCCCCTTCTCCTTTCCGCGGGCGCTTCCCCCCGCGGGGTGAGGGCGGCGATTCGGGGGGTGCTCGGTCCAGCCCCCCCGGGCGCTTGCGGCTGCGCTCGGGTCTGGGGGGGCTCCGGGGGGAGCTGCCGGCCTCGGCCTCGCTGTCGGAGGCAGGGGAGCCGCAGGAGCAGGTGCGGGCGGGGGGCTCCATGGCGGGGGTGGCCCCCGCAGGGGAGCCTCTCCCTGCGTTCAGCTCCAGCAGGGTCAAACAGCCGAGGCTGTCTGGGGGAGGAGGGAGGGAAACACCGGGGGGGATATCGGACAAAAATGGAAGACAACGAACTGCCTCGTTCTCCCGTGGGGGTGTCATCCCCACAGCCCCGGAGCTGCCTCACATGCCCCGGGGGGGCACATTTGGCATCTCCTCAGACAGGATGGGAGAACAGGGACCCACCTGGGACCTTTCACCCGGGACCACCCCCAGCCCCAGGACACGCCCCTCTCCCCCCCCAGTTACAGAACCCCCTCCCAGCCCCGGGACTGCCCGGTCCCAGGACCCCCCAGCAGCTCCCCCCACTCCATCACCTGCCGCCCCCTCCCCAGGACTGAATCCTCCCTGCAGGAGCCCCACCCGTGATGGGGACCCTCCCCCCCGCGCCGGGACCCCCATCACCTCCCCACCCAGCCCCGGTCACCCCGGACCCCACCTGCTCCCGGCTGCACCTGCGGTGATGCCGGTATCCCTGTCTCAGCGCCTGTGCCCCGCTGCCGGTGCCGCCGTTCCCGTCCCGGACCCAGTGCCGGTATCACTACTCCAGTATCGCTGTGCCGGTATCAGCGTCCCGCTGCCGGTGTGGCTGTCCCCGTTTCCCGGCCGGTGTGAGTGTCGCTGAGCTGTGGCCGTGCCGGTGTCCCCGTGCCGGTGCCGCGGTTCCGGTGTCCCGCTCTCCGCGCCCGGTCCCGGTGCCGGTCCCGCCCCGCCCGCGGCGGCCCCACGCGGACACGTGCGCGGCCGCACGTGCCTCGGGCCGGGCCCCGCCCCTCCCCGCTCCCATTGGCCGCTGCGCCCCGTGAGACCCCGCCCCTTCGCTCCCGTTGGCTCCTCGCCGCCGCCCGGCTCTGATTGGCCGGAGGGCGGGGCTCTGGCCACGCCCCTCTGCGCGGCCATTCGGGGCACGCGGCGCCGGGCAGCGCCCCCTGGCGGCTCCCGGGCCGCGCTCCCGCCCCGCCGGCGCCGCCCCCGCGCTCTCAGCCAATGGGCGGCGATCCCGGCGGCGCGTCTCGGCCAATGGGCGTGGCGGCCACGCCCCCTCCGCCGTTACATAACCGGGGCGGGACGGCGCGTGGGCTCCCACGTGGGGGCGGGGACCCCGTGTGACGTCACGCCCGCGCGTGGGGGACCGCCCACGGGGCGGGGCTTCCCGGCGAGGGGCGGGGCCGGGGAGCGCGCGCTGGGTCTGCCCGGGGCTCCCCCCGAGCGCCCCCAACCCCTCCCCACACCCCCCCCCAAAATCCCTCCAGGGCCGGAGCCCCCAGCCCGCCTCTCCCCCCAGGAGGCTCAGGGTGACCCCAAGACCCCTCCCCACGACCCTCCACAAGGCCCAGGGGCCCCCCTCAGGCCCCCAAACCCTCAGAGCCCCCCAGAGCCCCATGAACCCCAGTCCTGCAAACCCCTCGCTGCGCAAACCCCAGTCCTGAAAACCCCTCACCCCGCAAACCCCAGTCCTGCAAACCCCTCACCCCAGAAGCCCAGAGCTCGCAGCCCCCTCTCCACCCTCCCCAAACCCCGACACGCCGGGCATGGCCCCTCCAGCCCTCCCCGTCCCCCCGGGGGGGCCCGTCCCCCTGGGTGGGTATTTAGGGCCGGGCCGGTGGCAGCCAGCCCCCCTTGCCCCCCGCCATGCTGAGTGTGCTGCTGCTCCTGGGGGGCCTGGCCCCCGCCCTGCCCGCTGGTGAGTCCCCCCGAGGTGCCCCTGGCAGATCCCATTGTGGGGTGCAGCCCCAGCCCCCCTCAGGTGCCCCCATGTCGGGCCAGGGGGCTCAGCCGAGCCGCCACCCCAATGCCTCCGCTCTCCCCAACAGGTCCCCACTGGACGTACGAGGGTGAGTGGGGCCCCACGCAGGGACCCCCCATTTATTCCACCCCCCAAAACCTCCCCCCACACCCTCCGAGCTGTGGGGCTCACATGGGTCTCCTCAGAAGGTGGGGAGGTGGATGGGTGACAGCCTCCCTTTGATCTGGGTCCCCCAGATGGGAAGGAACTGGGCAGATCACAGCCCCTCCTTGGTCTCCCCAAAATGGGCACCCACCTGGGTCCCCTAAGACAGGCGGGGGTGAATGGGTGCAGCCCCCCACTTTCCCCTCCTGCCCCCCCCTTGCCCCCCTCGCTCCAATGGTCCCTTTGTGCTCCTTTACGTAAGGCTCCTGCTGCCAAATCCAATTAGGATCCGGCCTTGGCCAAATCCCGCTAAGCCCCATCCTGCCGGGCCCAGGGGACCCATGGGTGCCCCCCCGGCCCCGCGGACTCGCCTTTGTCCCCGCTCTCCCGGCTGGAAGAAATGTCCCCAGCAGATTAACAAGGCCCTTGGGAATGTCACCCGTGTCCCGGTTTGGGGGGCACCGAGGGCGTTTTGGGTCACGGGGCCGCCACTGGGTGAAGCAGCCCCTGGGGTGAGGTGAGGGGGGTCCCACCCGAGGTTTGGTCCCCCCCAGGTCCCCACGGGCAGCAGCACTGGCACGAGGGACACCCTGAATGCGGGGGCCGGGCGCAGTCACCCATCGACATCGTGACATCGCGGGCACAGCCGGACCCGTCCCTGCCGCCGCTGCGGCCCGAGGGCTACGAGCACCCCGAGAGCCCGGAGCTGACCCTCGCCAACAACGGCCACACCGGTGAGCACCGGGGCGAGAACCGGGCGGTCCCCGCTGTCCCAGCCACGCTGACCCCGCGTTCCGCAGCCGTGCTGGCACTGCCACCGTCCCTGCGGCTCGGGGGGCTGCCCCACACCTTCGCTGCTGTGCAGCTCCACTTCCACTGGGGCCGGCCCGGCCACGCCGCTGGCGCTGAGCACCTGCTGGACGGGCACCGTGCCCCCGCCGAGGTACCGGGACACTGGGGACTGGCCGGGAAGAGCTCCAAAAATGGGTCTGGGGGCGGGAAATGAGGAGGGGAACAGGTTTGGGGTCAGGAAATGGCATGGGAACTGTGTGGGAAATGGCTGTGGGGAGGGGTGTGAGTGTGGGAAAGAGCATGGGAACAGCGTGGAAAATGGGTTTGCACTGCAGGAATTTGCTGCAGGGAATGGAAGAGGGGTCCTGGTGAGGGAAACAGTGCGGGGAGGGGATGGGGTGCAGAAAAGGGTGGGAAACAAGAGCGGGAGCAGGTCCGGGAGCGGCAGCAGCTCTGGGCACTGCGGATGGGAGCCGGGCAGGGTTGGGGTGGCAGGGCGGGGGGCTCAGGGGGTCCCCGCCGTGCCGCAGATGCACGTGGTGCACTTCGATGCCGAGCGTTTCGCCGACGCCAGCGCGGCGCAGCAGCACCTGGGCGGGCTGGCCGTGCTCGGCGTCCTCCTGGAGGTACAGACCCCACACCCACCCACCCACCCACCCACCCACCCGCGCTCCCCCAGCCCCTCACTGACCCCCCTCCCTCCCCCAGCTGGGAGATGACCCCCACCCAGCCTACGACAACATCCTGAGGCATCTCGGCAGCATCCGCTACGCAGGTGAGGAGAGGGAGGGCGGAACCCCAAATCCCCCTCCCAGCACGCCCCAAACTGCTCGCCCCCACAGGGCAGAGGGTGGCCATCCCCTCCTTCAGCATCCGGGACCTGCTGCCCGCGCACCTGGAGCGCTACTACCGCTACAACGGGTCCCTGACCACCCCGCCCTGCTCCCAGAGCGTCCTCTGGACCCTCTTCCCGCAGCCCGTCCGCATCAGCCGGGCCCAGGTAGGTGCCGCTCTGGGGGGAGCCCCCCGCGTTTGGCGAGCGCTCCCCCAGTGCTGCCCCTTCCCTTCCAGCTGGAGCAGCTGCAGGGAAGCCTTTACTCCACGGAGGAGGGCGAGCCGGAGGAGCCCCAGCTGCTGGTGGACAATTTCCGAGCCCCGCAGGAGCTGAACCAACGCCTGGTGCTCTCGTCCTTCCCCAGGGGTGAGCGGAGGGGTGGGAAGGGTCCCCTGCACCCCTCACGTAGCTCCTGGAGCCCAAGCTGGGCACGAGCTGCTGGCCCTGACCCCGGCCTTTCCCTTGCAGAGCCACAGGGATACTCCACAGGTAGGGCCAGGCCGGGAGGCTGGGCTGGGGGGTCACCCCCGGACCCCCCTGACCACCCCGGGCGTCACACAGGTGAGGTCATCGCCATCATCTTCGGCGCCGTGGCCGGCTGCGTCGGCCTCTTCCTCGCCGTCCACTTTGGGGCCAAGCGGATGCGGTGAGACCCCCCCACACCCCTCAGAGGGACCCCCAGAGCTGGGGGGCCCCGAGCTCCGTGCAGAGACTCCCCCCTCACCCGTGTCTCTGCCCCGGCAGCGCGAGGCGGGCGCTGGCACAGGACGTGGTGTTCAAGGCTTCCTCCCGCCGCTCGCCCATGGACGCTGGACACTCCCGCTGAGCCCACGCTGGCCCCCAGCCCCCACCCATAGCCCCACTGCAAATAAAGCCCTTTCCCCCTCCTGGTGGCTCTTTGTGGGGTGGGAACGGGCGTCTTTGAGGGGCTTTGGGGCTGGATTTCATCACCCCCAAGAAACCAGGGCTGGAGCAGAGCACAATGTGGGGAGTGACCCCTCTCCCCCCTCCCCTTCTCCACAGCAGTCACAGTGTCCTGTGCTTTTGTAAAACAGTTTTACTCTTTACAAAAAAATAATTTACTCCCCGCTGCACCTCCAACCCTCCTGGGAGCTGAACAGGGGAAAGAAGGGCAGAGCATCCCAATCCTGGCGCCCCCCACCCCCAGAGCATCACCCCTATCACCAGTACCTGCACCAGGGTAGGGACCCCCCCAGAGCAACAAAAATGAGGAAATGGGGGGGTCCTGCCCTGAATTCCCCAGGTCTGGACTTCCCCCAAGGCATCTGGCCCACCCTGGCCTTCCCCAGAGCCTCAAGCTGAGGGGAAGTTTGTCAACAGAATCTGGGAACAAAGGGAACAGGGTGGTGGTCAGACCCCACAGTCCCCAGGAGCACCAGTCAGACCCCAAAAGCCCCCAGGAACTGGACAGACACAAATTCCCCTGGAGCAGGAGGGGTGAAGGCTTTGGCAGGAGTGTCCAGCTGTGGGGCCATGGCTCTCTCACCCCTCAAGAGGCACCTGCCGCGCTGAGCAGAGCATGGCCTGGCCCTCAGGCTCCTGCTTACCTGGGGGAAAAGGGGCGTTCATGAAGGTGGGGGTGGTTTGGGGGTTTGTGGAAACCCCCAGAACGTGGCCCCCATTCACCAAGACTCATCCACCCCCATCCCAGCAGCTCTGACCCCCCCCCCAGCCCCCAAAAGTGACACCCCACCCCCCTTACAGGAGAGGCACTTGAGGACGTTGCGGAAGGAGCCACCAGCGGTGCTGAAGGCCCAGAGGCCAGTGCAGAGCGTGAGGATGAAGATGGGGCCCAGGCTGGCCTCGTACCACGGGTTCAGGAAGGTCTGGGGACACAGAGAGGCAGGTCACACCTTCCTGACCCCTCCCAGGGCAGCAAAAGGAGTGCCCAGCCCTGTGGAAACCCAGCTCAAACCCCTGCTGAGCTCTATGTCCCCAAATCCTTCACTGACCTCCACCAGCCCGGCCACCCCAAGAGGCCGGGTGTGCCTGGGGCTGTAACTCGCCCTGTGGCCCCAGGGAGTGGGTGGGGGTTTGGGTGCCCCCCAGGACTCACCAGCCCTGAGGTGAGCAGGTGGCTGCCCACCACCAGCCCCACGCCCCCGGCGCGGCGCCGCTCGCAGGCGTCAAAGAAGATGATGCCCCAAAAGGTGTGGAGCAGTACCAGGGCCATGGTGAGGAAGGCTGTGGGGAGAAACACGGAGCCTCAGAGCCAGAGCCTTCCTACTCCTCCTCCTCCTTCTCCATGCCACGGCCCTGGCCTCACCAGAGGTGATGAAGTAGTACTGGGAGTCCCCGTGGATCCCGACGGTGCCCGGCCCCGCAGAGTCTGCCAGGATGTTGCTGATGGAGAAGACGCCACTGATGATGCCGAAGGAGAGCCCAGACACTGCGGGGGAGCCGGGGTCAGGGGAGCCGCCACAGCCCCGCGCTGGGTGGGCTCAGGGAAGGGCAGGAGAGTTGAGTGCAGCAGCCCAGGGTCTGCTCACCGTAAGCCATCCGCCGCAGGGAGATCGGGGACCGGCCATCCTCGCTGAGGATCGCCAGCCCTTCATCCGCCTTCCTGTCCCGCCAGGGAGAGAGCAGAGCGAGCAGAGTGAGCCCATCCCGAGGAGAGGGGAAGGGAGAGCCGCGGGGAGAGGAGACGGCTCCGCTCGCTCCCGGGGCTTAACAGGGACGGGACTTTGCGGGGTTCCTCTGGACAGAGCCCCAACATCTGCCCCGGCTGCCCCAAGCCCTGGGACACCCCAGCCCCCGGCACGGTTCCCCCGGGCTCGCTCTTACTTGAGCGCTTTGAAGCAGGCGAACCTGCAGAGCTCCTGCAGCAGCACGGCGGCGGCGGCGAGCGGCAGCAGCGCCGCGTCCTCCCGCCCGCTGAGCCGCACCCACACGGACCGGAGCAGCGAGGCCGCCAGCAGCGCCAGCAGCCAGAAAAACGCCCTGCGGCAAACGGGACACCGGGCTGGGCACCGGCACCGGGCACCGGGCACAGCCGCAGCTCCCGCTGCCACAGAGCTGCCCCCGCGCCTCAGGGCTGCTCCCCCAGCAGCACCGGCACCGCCCCGGCGTCCCCGGGAGCCGCCACGGCCCCTCAGAGCACCCCAGGGATCCTCAGAGCACCCCAGGGATCCTCAGAGCACCCCAAGGATATCTTAGAGCACCCCAAGGGTTCCTTAGAGCACCCCAAGGGTTCCTCAGAGCACCCCAGGGGATCCTCAGAGCACCCCAAGGGATCCTCAGAGCACCCCAAGGCCCCTCAGAGCACCCCAAGGGTATCTTAGAGCACCCCAAGGATCCTCAGAGCACCCCAAGGGCCTCTCAGAGCACCCCAAGGATCCTCAGAGCACCCTAAGGGCCCCTCAGAACACCCCAAGAGTCCCTCAGAGCACCCTAAGGGCCCCTCAGAGCACCCCAAGGGATCCTCAGAGCACCCCAAGGATCCTCAGAGCACCCCAAGGGTTCCTCAGAGCACCCCAAGGGATCCTCAGAGCACCCCAAGGATCCTCAGAGCACCCCAAGGACTCCTCAGAGCACCCCAAGGGTTCCTAAGAGCACCCCAAGTGTCCCTCAGAGCACCCCAAGGGTCCCTCAGAGCACCCCAAGGATCCTCAGAGCACCCCAAGGGATCCTCAGAGCACCCCAAGGGTATCTTAGAGCACCCCAAGGGCCCCTCAGAGCACCCCAAGGGTTCCTCAGAGCACCCCCAAGGATCCTCAGAGCACCCCAGGGGATCCTCAGAGCACCCCAGGGCCCCTCAGAGCACCCCAAGGGATCCTCAGAGCACCCCAAGGGCCCCTCAGAGCACCCCAGAGGATCCTTAGAGCACCCCAAGGGCCCCTCAGAGCACCCCANAGAGCACCCCAAGGGCCCCTCAGAGCACCCCAGAGGATCCTTAGAGCACCCCAAGGGCCCCTCAGAGCACCCCAAGGGATCTTCAGAGCACCCCAAGGATATCTTAAAGCACCCCAAGGGTATCTTAGAGCACCCCAGAGGATCCTTAGAGCACCCCAAGGGTCCCTCAGAGCACCCCAGGGCCCCTCAGTGCACCCCAAGGCCCCTCAGAGCACCCCAAGGGATCCTCAGAGCACCCCAAGGATCCTCAGAGCACCCCAAGGGTCCCTCAGAGCTCCCCAGGGCCCCTCAGCCCCCCGCCGGGCCGGCCCCGCTCACCCCGCCACCAGCACGACGAGCAGCAGCGGCTCCGCCGCCACGGTCAGCAGCACGAGCGCGGCCGCGGGCCCGAGCGCGGCGGCGGCGCAGCCCAGCGGCACGGCGGCGCCCATGGCGGCCGCGGCCAGCGCCCCTGCCGGCCCGGAGGACCCGGGACAGGGGGCACACAGCGGGGACACCCGGCACGGCGTCGGCTGTCCGCAGGGTCACCTGTCCGCAGGGTCACCTGTCTGCAGGGTCACCTGTCCCTCAGGGTCACCTGTCTGCAGGGTCACCTGTCTGCAGGGTCACCTGTCCCTCAGGGTCACCTGTCTGCAGGGTCACCTGTGCCTGGCACCAGCTGCCTGCAGGATCACCTGTCCACAGGGTCACCTGTCCCCCAGTTTCACCTGTTCTCCAGGTTCACCTGTTCTCCAGGTTCACCTGTTCCCCAGGGTCACCTGTCCCCAGGATCCCTTCCCTTCCCTTCCCTTCCCTTCCCTTCCCTTCCCTTCCCTTCCCTTCCCTTCCCTTCCCTTCCCTTCCCTTCCCTTCCC